ATTTTATGGGTTAACTAAATATTTATCTAAAACAATGGGAAGGTAAAAATCAAAATTTTGCTGTTTAAATAAGAAAATTACAAAAAAATCAACAAAAAACAAAATCTAAAAAAATATACATACTTTATTAAAATTATTTTTATCAAACGAAGAAAAGTTTTATTTTCTCAGTTGAAGTAACATTAAACAATTTTATTCATTTACTTTGGTTTTGATTATATTTTAAAAAGATTAACCCTTTATAGCGACACTGGGGACAAAGAAACTTCTTAAATATAAAAAATTGGAAAATTGACATAATCTTAACGGCCATTTAAGAAATTTAGTCATTATTAGAAGACTGGGAGTTTCGTACAAAGTTCTAGATCGTTATATCTTGTCTCTCCAATCTTAAGTCATTAACGATGTCGCTATAAAGGGAGCTATTTTTATTTTTTTAAATTGATACATATTTATTTTTTTTCTAAACGTATAAATTCTTTTGGGTAAAAAATAGTGTAGCTATATAAATCCTAAGCAATTCTCATAATAAAACGAAACGGTTCCTTATTAGATCGTCAATTATAAGTTTGACAACGATATATTCGTCTAAAATTGTTTCAGTTCGTCAACGCCTCGCCTACGCGGGGTTTTGCATAAGTGCCTTGCCTACGCCCCATAGTGTCGTGCCGAAAAAGAAATCAATCAGCTCGAAGGGCTCTTTCGAATGAGCTTTCATTCATTAAATGGAATCTATCCCCCAAAATTGAGCTTACTCCCCCCTATGGTTTTTCGATAATCAGGGACCTATATCTCGGCCCATAGGTGAGTCCCGAAGCTAATTTTGGTCAACTCATTTTTGTTTTGGTTTTAATGTAATTATAGGTTTAATTTCTGGTAGAATGTATGGTATGATATTATAAGATGGTGTTTTTTGTATATGTAACCACCCCTAATAATTAAATAGGGATGGTAAGACTTACAAAACCCATCTTCCTTTACTAGCGCCGCAGGCTAGATTATGAGAAATTAGCAAAGCCAAGAGCATGATTTCTCCCTTTTTCAGCGAGGCAGGCGAAAATTTTGAGAATTTTGGAAGTTTTAAATTTTTTCGGGCCTTATTTTTTCTCCATCTTTCATTTGTCAATAGGGGTGTATAAAACTTTCGCATGTCGCGCAAAAAGCGAAATGTGATAGTCAAAAAATGCGAAACAGGCACACCCGTGTTATAAAACCTTAAACAACGAATAATATGAATAAAATTTTATCTAGTCTAGATTTTAAATAAATTAAAAATAAATGCGTCAATTTTAAATAAAACTATGAAACTTGAAATAAAGCTCCCAGGGAACTTATTTACATTGGATGTTTTTCTAACATAGTGCATGTACTATTAATTTAAACATATGTTAACTCGGACCTCACAATACGTTCATTAAATGGTCTTAAAGGAACACTTTTATGACAGAATTTGTTGTCAGTTGAGACAAAAATTTAATTGATAACAGTACTCGGAGCAGAGATAACTATAAGAAGTTTCCGCTGTATAACAGAATATTGGAAATCCAAGAGATTTTGGTGTTGACTTTCCACAATGTATATACAAATTACCAATTGTATCAAAATTTCGCTCTGAGTCATATTATATGCATGTCGAATGTTCCTTTAAGTCCATTTAAGGTTTATGAGTCCATTAAACATTTACGAGTCCAATAAAGATCTGTGTTCTATGACTACAAGTGAGGTTTGTGACCTTCGGTGTAGTGAATTTTTAAATTTTGGTCACTTGCGGAATTTTAGTCAACAAATCATAAACAGAATATGGGCACTGTCATATTGACACCATTAGATTTTCAGTAACCAAGCGAAAAAAAATATATTGAAGTTTTTGCATCTCTAACAGAATAAAAAGAATTTAGTAAGAAATGTTCTGTGTATATCAGGTTATAGTCGATCTGATTCTTGAAAATCATGAATTTCACGACATTTTTTGGGCGTGAATTCCCGATTTTGTTTTTAATTGTCCTAATAAACTTTTGTTTTAACATTCAAAATTTACACTGGACTCATAAACATAACCCAAGCCCAAAAATTTTCTTAAAATAATAAATTTTAAATCCCTGTTAAATATCTTTTTAAAATCCCAGTTGTCTTTACATCCGATTCCAATAGTTTTTTGTATAAATGTGTCCCATCATTTACTTTTTCGCTTAAATAAAATTTTGATTATTGAAATGAAAAAATTCTCACAATTATTTCCCGAATCTTCACTTGAATAAACAGTGAATTTTTGAGGATGTTGGGGATTCTCATAATACTGTGGTTGATGTGTTGATGATTCTCCATGCGATGTGTGTTCCCCTATAATATAATTACAATTTTTCAAAATAAATTCGGTGCCATTTTTATATTTAACTCAATCTACCTAAATTTGATTTTCAATAGAATTAACATTAAAAAGTTTTTGAATAATTAGGGTGACGTAAAATTAAAATTACATAGATCAACAGCTAAGATCATAATTTTTCCTCAAAATTTCTATTGGTTATTTCTATATGTGTATAATGTTTCAATCACAAACCTCCAAGTAGACTTGGAGGTTTGTGATTGTGCCACAATCCAAACTTTATGGCTGGATATTTTTATTCATTTATATTCTTTCTGCATTAGCAGACAAAACTAAAGCAATAGCAAACCTCCGTGAAGAATTGAAGATAAAGATTTCACTTTCTTTCCTTTACCCTTTTTCGAGCGTTGTGGTACTATCCAATCTATGAGAATGTAAAATATTATTAAAATATTATAATTTCTCGCCAAAAATTTTCTAATACCGTATTATCTCTAATAGAATGATCGTCTCATTTGAATGGCTCCTTCTAAGAGATAGACCTTTTTATTTTTCGATCAGCCCCCTGGTGGATGATAGAAAAATAGAATGACCCCCTCCTTTTGAATGGCCCACTATAATAGAATGGGCCTCTGGAGGGTGTTTGAAAAATAGATTGGCCGGCCATTCTATTAGAGATAATACTGTATATTTATACCCTCAAGAATATCTACTGCATTTTCTTCATCAAAAATTTCTCTCATTATTTTATCAACATTTATTTGATACTTATTTATTACATATACATAATTGCGAACAATTGTTTGTTCATCAGTAATTAATCCACAAGTAGGTTCAGTCGACGGATTTTCAAAATCAATTTTGTAAGCATTTATCATATTATTTGAATGAATTGCTGGTGGGCAATTTATATTTTGCTTAATTTATTGAAGCAAATTTATTTTATTAAAAATATGTACGGTGCTGTGTGATTTCGGGAGAAGTGACGTAGGCAGTGGTTAAAGGGCAGTGAGTGATTTGGGCAGTGAGGTGAATTGGGTAGTGAGTGATTTGGACATTAAACATTTATTAAAAAAATATTTTCCACATAAAAATAATTTGAGTATCATCAGATTATGAGTGATTTAGGCAGTAAATTATTGTTTTAAAAAAACTATTAATGCTCACAAATTTAAAAGTATAACTTAAAGTGTAAATGATCAGCACAAGCTCGGAAGCATAATATATTCAGAAAAATATATATTTTAATACAAATCCGAGCCCTAGTTACATATTCCTGAGGAATAAAATTTACTGCCCAAATCACGCATAATTATTTTTCCGTTGATACTCAAATTGTTTTTATGTGAAAAATATTTATTTAAAAAACGTTTACTGTCCAAATCGTTCACTGCCCAATTTTCCTCACTGCCCATTTAACCACTGCCTACGTCGCTTCTGTCGAAAGTCATATATAGACTGAGGGGTTTTTAAAATTATAGTTTATTAAAAAGAGCACTTTTCACTTAATAATAATAAAATAATCCATCTCATCTAAACGAATCCTTCCCGAGATATACTGTTTTAAAAAAATTTTCAGTCAGTGTAAATAAACTTTTGCACCCCAGTGTATAGCTAATCAAAATAAACTAATCTTTAATTGGAAGCAATAACTTTTAAAGTACGATAGACGCCAAAACCCCAAGCCTTATTAAAGTTAACCTACATATATCCACTACTTGTTTCAGGAAAATAAAAAGTGGAAGGGTATTATAATTTTATAAATTAATCCTCACAATTTTATAATTTTTGTCATATTGAGGTGGATGTTTGTGTTCGACAGTTAAATAACTATCCGGTATGTTGTAATCTGGATCAACATGAATTGACGCTCTACACTTAGTACCTCTAACACCATATTTTGTACAAAGCCAAAGGTCTGTTGAATGATGCGAATAGATATCCCCATTATACTTGATTGCTGTTTTATGATAAGTTGTTTCCGAAAGTTCTATCTAAATTTAATATAGGATTGTTTAAAAAAGGCCTTTTACATCTCCCTAAATTCGTATAATGCCTACTTAAGGAAAATTATTTTCTATAAGAGGAATTTCATTTTATGAAATTTATGAATTGCTCTTAACGACATCACCGTATTTGTGAAGATTAATTAGGAGATTAGCGGATTTGAATTTGTGTTGATATAAATTTTTATGTTTTCTCTTAACCTTGTAATCAACCATTAAAGTATATTCATCATTCGGGCAAATTAAAGTTTTCATATAATTTGTTGATTTAAATTGCCCGTTTCCCTCCTCATCCTCTACATTATCATTAAAATTGGCTACAAAATTTGAATTATCCATGTCTTTACATTTAATCATTATACTATTTATTTTTTGAATGGATTCAGGAGTACTAGACCAAATAAAAATTAAAACACGAAGATTATTAAACAAGTTAATCATTGTGTTGAAGAAGTATTCTTCTCCTTCAACTTTTATGTATTTAATATATTTTGTATTGTCTTTGCGAGGAATGATGTAAATTATTGTATCATTTTCTAGTATTTGATCTATAGTGCCAATATATTCCTTAAGAATTTTTTAATTTAATAAATTATTAAATATACATAAATTTGTTTTGCCCCCAATCGTAGCAAACATAATATACAGTAAGAGCGAGGTAAAAGTTTAATCCCGGGCAGGCTTCGATCCTGCGACCTCCTGGCAGTTATCCTCCTGGCTCACCTCGTACAGGTGCTCTACCAACTGAGCTACCGAAACGCTGCTTTCACCTTTACTTTTAATAGATCTTAAACCTCCGCCTAGTGAGCGTTTTAAATGCTAACCAGCTGGATCTTTCTCTTCCTTACAATGCATATAATAAAGTCCATTCACTTGATTTTGTTTAAAGATTTATTTAAATCTCTATAGGATATGTGATGAACTTTGCTAAATTTGTCTACATTTTATAGATGCTAAACTTAGCCCAAACATTTTTAAATACTAGCAGAATCCCTCCCTTACACTAACTTCATTAAGACGATTAATTGTTATCTGTAATTTAAAAGTGCCTTCATTTAGCCCATCAAAGTGAAATGTATCGTTTATATCAGTCAATCCAGTAATTGGATTGTCGAGGTGATCGCCAGTCAATTCCAATTTAAACCGTTTGTAATCTTTTTTAGCCAAACGTTTGTAATAATTTTGGTTACTTTCGCCATTTTCTCGCCATGAAATCTTTACAAAAATCGAATAGGGAAAAACAAAAGTAAAAAGAGAATTGAGGAACATAAACAAAAAGAATAACCACATTCTCTGAATATAAAAAGTATAATATAAATTAATTGTAATAATCCGAGGTCGTCGGAATTTCGAATTCAATAATAACATAAAAAATTTCGACATATATTTGAAGAGATTCATGTTCAGTTCCATGTGTAATCCGCATTCCTGCAAAATCCCGCAAATCGAGAAAAGTTCGGGATTGCGGGAGCGGTATCTCGCAAAATCTCGCGCGGTATCCCGTCCCGCGCCGGTCTCTAGTGTTGTGTATGGGCGTCAGCCCTTAAAGTGTTTAGTATAAAAGCCCAGCCAATAGTTAGTTCTCGGTCTCAGTTTTAGTTCTTCTTCCTACCCCAACCTTCGCCTGCTTTGTATTTCTTTGTGCAATAAACGTTTCTGTTAGCTTCCTCTACGTAACCGGGGTCGTAACAGATTTGGCGCGGTCGCAAACCATTCTCGTCTACTTCGAAAAAGGAAAATTCGTCAACAGCTACATAAAGAAAAATGGCCCTGATTAGTAAAGTAAAAACATGGTGGGAAAACCATGAGTGTAATGTAAAGAACAGTGTTGATATTCTCCATGTGAGTATGAGTGTGAAACCTAAATGGTTAACAAAAAAAGTGTTAGTGAACGGAAACGAAGTGGAATTCATTTTGGATTCAGGGGCTCAAATCAGTTGTATAAGTGAAGTGACATGGAAGAATATTGGTAGCCCAAAGCTCACTGGAGTGCCCTGCAAGGGTAGAAGTTTCACAGGAAACGAGTTTAGTATGTTGGGCAGTTTTTTGGCGAGTGTCGAAGTAGACGATAGTAAACAAGTATTGGTGACACATGTCACAAGTGAAAAATTGAATTTGTTTGGCCTACCATGGATAATTGAAGTTGAGAATAAATTGGGATATCCAATAGTGTCTAGTATTAAAAAGAGTGAAGAGCCGATTAAAGTGTTAGAAATTGAAAAGGCACAAAGTAAAATTAGTGAAATAGTAAACAAATTGTCAGTGCAGTTTAAGAAAGTGTTTGAGCCAGGCTTAGGCCATTGTACAAAAATGAAGTCTCATTTGTATATGAAGCCAGGAGTGAGTCCAGTATTTGTACGGGCTAGACCAGTACCGATTGGCGTTAAAGACGCAATTGAAAAAGAGTTAAACAGATTGAGTGAAATTGGAGCTATTAAGCCAATTGAATTTGCTAATTGGGCAGCGCCTATTTTAGCAATTAAAAAGGCAAACGGCAAAACAAGAGTGTGTATGGATTATTCAACGGGGTTGAATAATGCAATTGAATTGGATAGGCACCCTTTGCCAAAGCCTAGTGAAATATGGGCTGAGATCCATGGAAGTAAAGTGTTTTCGCAATTGGATCTTAGAGATGCCTATTTACAAATTGAGTTAGACGAGCAATCTAAAAAAGTGGCGTGTATTAATACACATAAAGGATTGTTTGAAGTGCAAAGATTGCCGTTTGGATTGAAATCAGCACCAGGAATATTTCAGAGATTGATGGATAAATTGATAAGTGGAATTCCTGGAGAGTTTGCATATTTAGATGATTTAATAATAGTGTCTAAAAATATTGAAGATCATAAAGTGCAATTGTTTGAAATATTTGATCGAATTGAAAAGTGGGGATTAAAAATCCAGTTAGAAAAGTGCAATTTCTTCAAAGAAAAATTGAAGTTCTTAGGCCATATTGTATCCAAAAGTGGAATTGAGCCCGACCCTGAAAAGAAAAAGAAAATTAGTGAATTGACACGTCCAAGAGATGTTAAAGAATTGAAATCTTTTATGGGTACAATTAATTATGGGCGGTTTGTTAGTGAAATGCATAAATATAGAGGGCCATTGGATAAATTGCTTAAAAAAGAAGTGAAGTGGGAGTGGGGGCAAGATCAGGAAAAGGCCTTTCAAAGTGTCAAAAAAGTGCTAAATTCTGATTTAATGCTAACGCATTTCGATCCAGAATTGGAGTTAATAGTGACAGCTGATGCATCAAATTATGGAGTGGGTGCAGTGATATCACATAAATTTCCAGATGGAAAAGAAAAAGTGATTGAATACGCGAGTAAGTCGTTGAATGATGCAGAGAAAAATTATAGTCAAATTGAAAAAGAGGGCCTAGCATTAGTGTTTGCAGTGCAAAAGTTTCATAAAATGCTATTCGGCCGAAAGTTCATATTGAGAACGGATCATAAACCGTTATTGGCCATTTTCGGCAAGAATAAAGGAATCAAAGTGTTCTCTGCATCAAGATTACAAAGATGGGCATTATTATTGACAAATTACGATTTTAAAATCGAATTTGTAAGTACCAACCAAATGGGTATGGCTGACACATTGTCCAGATTGATAAGTGAAAAAAGTGAATCGGAAGATAAAGTGATTGCATTAGTTTCAAAAAGTGAAAATCGTAGTAATGAAGATTGTAGTGATGAGAACTCATTATTAGTGGAAGAGTCAATTAAATATGTATTAAACATAATGCTGGATGAAGTGCCAGTAAGTGCCGAACAAGTGAAGAGTGGGACAGAAAGTGAAAGTGAGTTAAACAGGATTAAACAATTTATTAAAAATGGGTGGCCAAAAGTAGTGAGTGATCCAGCATTAAGTATTTGGTCAAACAGAAGACAAGAATTGGAAGTGATTGATGAGTGTATAATGTGTAATGGAAAAATAGTGATCCCAAAAACTTTGAGGAAAAGTGTATTGAAAGTATTACATGAAACACATCCGGGAAGTGCAAAAATGAAAGGAGTCGCCCGGGAGTATATGTATTGGCCAAACATTGGTAGAGATATTGAAGATTGGGTCGCAAATTGTAAAATGTGCCAATCAGCGGCAAAAAGACCAATTAAAAGTGAATTGCGACCATGGTCAATTACAAACAGAAATTGGGAAAGAGTGCATATTGATTTTGCTGGGCCGTGTAAAGACGGAAAAGTGTATTTTATTGTAATTGATGCGCACTCAAAGTGGCCTGAAGTGTTTGAAAACATGACAACCTCAGCAAAAGACGTTATAAAGTGTTTTGAGTGGTTGGGAACCCATTACGGGTACCCAGAAACAATAGTGTCTGATAATGGAAGTCCATTCCGTTCAAATGAGTTTAAAGTATATTGTCAAAATAAGGGGATTAGTCAAGTATTTAGTGCCCCATATCATCCACAATCCAATGGGCAAGTGGAAAGATTTGTGGATTATTTTAAAAGAATGATGACAAAAAATTGTAATAAGAAGAATTGGCTCAGTGAAGTGTTATTGTTTTATAGAGCCAGTCCTCATGAATCATTGGAAGGGAAATCTCCTAGTGAAGTGTTTCTTGGAAGAAAATTGCGATTGAATTTAGCGAGGTTAATACCCAAAAAAGTGATCTTCCAAGAAAATAAAAATAAAACACCTCAACAAGTGAAAATGAAAAGTTGGTTTGACAAACACCATGGAGTAAAAAACCGAAAAATCGGTAAATTAGTGTATTTCTTAAATTACCGAAAAGATGGTAAAATCAATTGGTTGAATGGTGAAGTGGAAAGTAAAAGGGGAGTTATCTATAAGATATACTCGCCAGTATTGAATGCCATTGTAACTCGGCACGAAAATCAAATTAGAAATAGAAGTTTAAGTGAAGATTGTGATAATTTGTGGAAAAGTGAAAGTGTAAGTGATAGTGGATTGGAAAAAGTTGATAAACCACATAAATATGGTTTGAGAGAAAGTATTAGACAGCCTCAAAAATTAGTGCTTACTAAGGAAAGTGTAAAAAAGTATGCTGAAGAGGCTATAAATTATCCAGTGAAATTAGTGAGACAAGTGGGAACAACTCAAAGATGAAAGACGATGAAGAGGATAAGCAAATGGAGACGTAGACGTGTAAAATAAAATTTTTTGTGATAATATTGTTGTTGTATTTTTTGTTGTAATGTTGTATGTATTTTTGTTCCCATTGTCCTTATTCCCCCAAAATTTTTATGTATTTTTGTTTGTTTTGTTTGGCTGGAAAGTGTTAGTGTATTGTAAAGCTTCGGCTTTAAGTGAAGCCGAACCTTTTTTTCAAGGGGGGAGGTGTTGTGTATGGGCGTCAGCCCTTAAAGTGTTTAGTATAAAAGCCCAGCCAATAGTTAGTTCTCGGTCTCAGTTTTAGTTCTTCTTCCTACCCCAACCTTCGCCTGCTTTGTATTTCTTTGTGCAATAAACGTTTCTGTTAGCTTCCTCTACGTAACCGGGGTCGTAACATCTAGTGTCAGTGCATCACTTTTCATTTTTCTACTTTTCATTTTAGTAAATGTTTAGCAACTTAATTTTAAGAAAATGAGTGATTCCGATATTGATGTTGTATACCGTTAAATCCCTCATTGGCAGTCAACGGTCGCTGGGTTCTGCACTAGTAACATAGACCTATTCCTATCATCGCTGCAATGGGCATGCCTGGCATCCTCCGAAGCAGCAAAAACCCCCAAAAATACCATAGGTTAAGAATTATTTTATGAAGCAGAGTCTATATT